AAAAAAAAAACGTGCCGCGCAGCGCAGGCAAAAGACTGGATGGGAATGGGAGGCCGCACCCGGCCCCCTGCTTGTTAGCCTCCTCCGGGCGAGCGAGCGTCCTGCAGCTGCGGTGCTGCCTCGCGCTAGCTAGCTCCAACCGCACGCGTCACGTCCGTCGATCGGTCTGCATCTGCCGCGTGCATATCTATCTATCTATGATCCCTTGAATTGAAGATCGATCCCCTCGCGACCCGTCCCTTCACTTCCTCGGGTTTTCGATGGACAATGCCACAATGGTGATGTGCAACCGCGCGACGGCGATTGGCGATGCATCGCGGAAGAAGCCGACCGATCAATCGAGGAGCCGGCCGCGCGCGGGCGAAGTTGCGGGGGCCGGTGGCCATGCACGATCGCAGCGCAGCTAGCACACAGGGGATTTCCTTCCTGCCGGCTTGCGCGCGGCACCTGTCTCTGCTCGGATCCCTGGGCTCTAGCTCTGGCTTATTTATGAACCTGATAGAATGGGTTTTGTTTGGGTTGGTTGGGCCTCGCCACTTTTAATTGAGGTGGACATTGTAAAAGAACCGTCTCCGAAAATAGCTTTAATTTTCGAGGCGGGCAATTTAGAAGTAATGGTCTTCGTAAATCGATTTTGCGAGACGGTTCCTTATAATCATCTCAGTTAATAAAAAATGACAGTCTCAGTTAATGTTATCATTAACTGAGTGAGACGATAGAAAATAATGTCCGTCTTTGAAGGCTATTTTGAAAAATCGCGGTTAATAAATTCTGTAGTAGCGACGACTAGTCAAGGCCGGCATGGTCTTCTCTCGTGGGCCAGCGTGTTGTGAAAGCAAACGGCAACGGCGCCGCCGGTGGCCCCAAATCTCTGGAAATTGTTTCTCTTTATTTTTTTTCAAATACGTAAATGATGTGCGTACTCTTTATATATATAGATATGTAAAAGATACTACCATACTGCTTTTACTTATTAGAAGTATTAGAAGGTAATAATATCTTAAATCAATCTAAACCATTGTTTTTAGAAATTTTTAAATTAATTAATTAGTCTAGAAAAAAATAAAAAAGAAAATATCTTCAAATCCCCTCGTGCACGGGAGAGACAGAAGCGGCCGGCAGCGTGGCCCTTCCTTGTTAATAGTGTGTGTGTGTATATATCACCGTCAAATGCTTTTGCACCCCTACATGAGAATAGCATCCCATCTTATGGATTGATCTTTCCAATGAGTTCATCCTAGAATATATGCTTATAATAATCATCTAATATAAAATCTTGAAGCAAGAAAAAATGGAGTACAATGAATTTTTCAAGTTAAAGTTAAGATATAGTACTTAAATCAAAACAACAAGTTCATACACAATACTAGTGTCATCTCTAAATTTTATTTTAGATAGAGCATGTCAAGACAATACTAACAAAGCAAATCTCATATTTTTGCCATCCCTAATTATTTAGTTATAGATTAATCAAGTTTAATAGCAATAACAAGATTATACCTAAATTAATTATTTTACCATAGAACATATTCTATTTCATATTTTTCATAGATAGATCAAATCATAAGAGAGGTAGAGGTCGGCCTAAACTCACTTGAGAAGAGTCGGTTCAGAGAAACCTTGAAGATTGGAATATCTCCAAGAATTTAGTGGTGAATAGGAGCGCTTGGCGACTAGCCATCTACGTGCCGGAGCCGTGATTTTTGCTTCTTTTTCTTTTGCTCTTTCTTTTCTTTCTTTCTTTTTCTCTTTCTTTTCTTTTTCTTTTCTTCTTTTGCTCCTGTAAGAAAGTGAGAAAAATATGTTCTGTATTATTCACAAAGACATATACACATATATATAGATACATAGAAGGCCTAAACCTAACTTATTGTACAAGAAACCATTTAACATAACTAACACCCCCCCTCAAACTCAAGGTGGTATAGTGGAGATTAACTTGAGTTTGCTAAGAAGTAAACAAAAGCGACCAGGAAGGAGAGACTTCGTGAAGACATCCGCTGGTTGATCTATAGAGGAAAAGGAAACAAGCTTCACAGTCCCATGTGCAACATGCTGTCGAATGAAGTGACAGTCAATCTCAATATGCTTAGTACGCTCATGAAATGTATCATTATGAGACATCTTTATAGCACTCTGACTATCACAATGTAAAGCAGTAGACACCGACTGAGGTGCACCAAGATCAGCAAGTAGTCGACGCAGCCATAATAACTCTGAGGTGGAATCAGCAAGAGCACGATACTCAGACTCAGCACTCGATCTGGAAACCAATGTTTGCTTCTTACTGCACCAAGAGACAAGTGAATCACCAAGAAAGAAGCAGTACCCAGTAATAGAACGACGATCA